TGGAGGATTCGCGAAAACGTTCGAAAACAATTCCACGAGATCACCGAAGATCGTTTGATAGTCGACGGTAATCCAACGTGTTATTCTACTTTCGATTTCTGATCGCAAACGATGGAATCGGAGTCTACACTACGGTTACTTGAATCGAGAAGTAAGTAAATATTCTATTTAATATTTCCCTGTAGATGCCAGTGTTTTATACTTCATTTCATGCTTAACACATCGACGGTGAGGAATTTTCATTTCTAAAAGTGGTTGTTATCGATTTTCTCTGAAGACTCATATTTTTCATGTGTAGCGACAGTAATAGGTCACCACAAATATAATTCTCTCTATAAGCCCAACGAATATTTACTCAGTTTATAGCTCGGCTCTATAAGCCACCCTGCTTAGATAGGCCATTACATTATATAGGTACCATATGTCTATAAATATTGATGAGCTTCTAAAGCAAAGTCTGCTTGCTACAAGTCTCGTGAGATAAATGGAAATACTGTGGATAAATTGTGCGTGCCTGCAGGTGAGTCTAGGTTCTTCGCCGTGACCCCGATCCTATCGAATGAGATCCCACGATTCATGTTTCGTGAATCAGCGATTTACTATGTCGACGTATAATGATGAAACATACAGCTCGTGGTTCTGGTGTAGCTAACATTACTAAGTTTCTTCCCTTCTGTTCGATATATTTGGAGTTAATAACAGGATTATCCTTATCGTCTTTCTCGTCCCCTAAAATAGAGATCAGACGAAGCTAAATGGAAGAAAATTTAGATAATCGGAACTACAGTCTAAGTAGTGGAAAGTTCAATCTACTAATTGAAGGATGATGGGTTCCATTTGAAATTAAATTAGAAAATTATAATTCATATTCTAGATAATTTTAGTTCCGTATGACATTATGAAAATATCCTATATAATTCCGACGTATCTACACTGACAGAGTCAAAAAGATTGTCGAATTGAACTGAGATTTGAAGTTTTCATTCCATCCCCCAAATTTCTTTCAAAGGTAGATTCAATTCAATCGAGGTGCTAATTCTAATCGAGTATTCAGTTCCGAAGAAAAACGCAGGGCATGGATTAATTGTCCGTAGTGAGGGGGCGAGATATCCACGCGAGGATCGGACAGACGGGCGCAACGTCACGCGGTGCAATATGTTGCTGACACGTTGCTGGAAAGTCGATACACACGCGAGCGAAGAGTATACGAACGGGCGTAGTTCTGGAGGAAGCCAAAGAGCGGTCCCAGGGGCGCACGGAAAAGCTCGTTATAAGCTCTTGGGGCTTAGTTGCAGCTACAGAATTAATTAAACCGTGCGCGTGGTAAAGCGCATAAAATATCCAGCGATGTCCCCCCCGCTAGGCGCACGACGGATTTATTATATTGCTATTCTACTGATCGCCCGTCGCGTTTAAATAACGCGGTCGCCGTCGCGGCTGAAGTGCAGCCAGAGGGAGAAAAGCAATTAACGGCGCGAAGTTCTTGCCGCTTATAATCCCGGGCTCCTTGTATAGAGTTTCTACATTCGCGCAAATACAAATTAAGGGTCGAATTAACGTCTAGATCGGGGACAGACGAGGTGCTCTACGTTGGAGCACTTCCTCTCGAAATACATCATCCACGTTCTCCTCTTCCTTTTCTCTTTCCAGACTTCCATTGCAGACATACATATTTCACAATGTATTCAGGATGTACAAAAGTTCCAACTAAAAACGGGGAACAGATTATTTCTTATGTAAAAAGGTTGAGAATAGTGGCATTGTTTCCGAGAAAATTGATTTTGTACATCTGTGAAGCAATTGAGCACGATTTATTGACTGTTATAATATTTATGCACGTTGACTGGCTTGCTGTGTCATCTATTTTTCGGAATAATGTTACGCAATCTGATGAAAGATGGTGACTTCGATGTAAGAAACGATTCCGTTTCACGGTCAAAGTTTTTAAGTAGATCGAGTAGGTAATAGCCAGACACGCTATTTTCTGCAAGTTAACGTTCCAATTCATTAGGGTACAGTCATTCCCGTTATCCATAGATCCGTACCAGCTGCAAGTAGCTTGTTTTCTTGACAAAGTGAAAAAGTGACTAGCGCGGCAGTGCACGCCGGGAAATTAACCGTAGCTGGAACATCGGGTCGGGGGTCGGCTACGGTTCATGTATATTTATAACTCACGCGACGGCACACGCATTTCCAAGGGACTCGAGAGTGTATCGTGCTTTCTTTCACCCTCCCGCCGTTTTTTCTCTGATGGATTACGAGAAAAACAACGGGAGGACGATACACAACGGTCTCTACCCCTCTCGACAACCCTCGGGAAGGCTTTTCGCCCGAGCGCTTCGAGCTCTCAGCCAACCCATTCTCTACCTAATTCACTCTTAAGCCGAAGTGTAATGAGCTCTGATCTAATCTAATTCCATCCAATCTCCTTCTGGCTATAGCTACATCCCGCGACTATTATGCTTCTCCGAGGAGAGTGAGCTATAGGCACTTTGTATGCGCTTTCCTATTGAAAGAGGCTCTATTCTTACCCCCGTGGGCCGTCGAACAACTTATTTAACTAGAGACCCTTAAGGGTACCTCGTTCCTTTCCCTCGTATCTTAAAGCTTCCTCGAGGCGGTGATTCGCGACATGGAGGGGCAACGACACCACCCTATTTATCGTGAAAGTTCGAAAAAAAAGTTTTCGTGCGACCTCCGCAAACCGATTCCGGTACACTCGTTGAATAACGTGAATTTTTAGTCGTCCTTTATTGGCCGAGCCAACAGCCGCGACCGCGGTTCGATACACAGAACGGCCGCGTAATAACGATTACCATGCAAATAGCGAAACAAAGGTACATTAATATTCACCGGCTGTGATAATGTAAGGGTCACAATTCACCGATCGGACTTCCGTGGCCGTTTTACCAGTATCGGCGTTTTCATGAACACACCGGGAAGAACTGTGAAATTTAGTGCCTAATACGAATCGTAAAATTTATGTTCCAGTTTTCGAGGGAAATTAAATAACGGAAAGTTGTATGCACCAACGGTATTGTTTTATGTAGTCAATCCGTTAAATGCATTTGTCCACTACACTTGACCTACTGTATTACTTTAGTGACAATATTTGGGACAAATTGTAAAACATTTCTCGACTGGACCTTTTTTAAATAACATTCAAGCATTAGAAAAACGGTGTTACTGTGACTACTGGTCCGTTATTCATCGCGAGCAAACACATTGTTTAAAAGAAATATTTCAGAAAATTTTTTAAATAGTCCTAAAATGACTATTGGTTCCTGATTTTATAAACAAAATTTTTGTGCAAGACACCACAAAGATGCAGTGAGCGGGTTAATCGTGAAGTCTTGGTAAATGTTTGCCTGTTGTTATTGTCGAAGATTATTGAATAATTCAGAGCCTGTAGCAATGATCTTCAACTTTAAAGCAGTAGTATGTAATACGCATTAACTGTTTCATACTGTACAATTGAGGAACAACATTTTGAAGTCATTCAATTTCGAAATGAAATCACGAAGAACTTAAAGAATCTGTCATTAACCAAAGAGTTCAATAACTCGATCATTTCTGTAATTTTTAAAAGCTGACAAAGCTCCTTGAAAGTATTTTGTATTCACCATCACCAACAAAATCTTCTTAATCCGCCGAAACTTTCCTTACCAAGATAAAATGCAGATACCAAAAACTTTATGAAATTCAGAAACCGAACAACAGTGACCAATCGCCTTGTTCCAGCTGTCTCGAGCGTCTCCACTTAACAAGCCATTCACAATCTAACGGAACCATGTCTCCATATTCTCGAAACGTATCATTGCATAGAAATCCGGGAAGATAGAGGCTGGCTGTCTTCTCTATGCACGGGAAGTCATTCTCTGATGCGTTCCGTTTCTCCAACGATGACTGTTAAGACGCATAGTTCTGCTCCCTTTACAAAAGAAACGCATGTCTGCTCTCGCGATTTTGCGCGCTAGGAGTTTCTTTTTACTCCGCGGGGAAGGCGGCTTGTAGAACTAGCACGCAAATAAAAAAAAATGGGAAAGACGAGGGCGGAATAGAGGGCACGGATGCGTAGAAGATACCGAGGGGGAACAAATAGAGCAAGACAGATTCAGGGTGCGATAAGCCGAGAGAAAGGGATGGAAGGAGAGAGATTAGTGGGTAGATAGGTACATAGAGATCAATAGATAGTCTTGTGGCAGAGATTCGCGATCGGGTACACTTGCCGTGATAAAGTGATATCATAGAAAACCTGGTACAAATAGGCGAGAGGAGTTAAGAACTTGCGTCAAATCGAATAAAACGTTCCATTTAACTTTCGTTCTGAATTCAACGCACAATCTACACTCCTGCGGCTCTTATTAAACTTCAGAAAATTAACTCATCACTTCTCTAATAATTTTAGGATTACTTTCAGGATTTCGACAGACACCCCACATTTCTATGTTTCAATATTTAATAAACCCTCCTTTGCTATATGCAAATACAGAATCTAGAAAGAAATAAGTATCACGAGGACAGTTTCTCGGGATGAATAAGATTTTTTCCCCTTTATCCAATGATAGCACTGCCCTTTAAGAAGTCAACGAAGGCTCAAAAACTGTCTCGAATGCGATGAAAAGCAGTCGAGACGTTTCGACCCCACGTTGTAAAACCGGCAATCTCAGCAGTCTGGCTAGTAAAACAGCGAAACGGGAATGAGGATCCAATGCGCCCAGGGTCGTCGCGAAAGCACGAACATCCCGAATTCTCGGAGTTCGACCTCGGCATTTATAGACCAGAACGAACAAAGTCAAAGTGGCTGTTTACGAAAACGTGGAAGACGACGTATTTATCCGTGAACCGTCCTTCCACGTACTCCGGATCGATACTTCGTTCACAAAGAATTGCGGTCCCATTCCGACAAAAGCGAAGACGGCCGGGATAGGGTCACTCGCTGACTGGATCCGTGGAAGAGTAGCTATTTGACCGACGGATTCGTTCTTTTTCTGTTGCAGATACGCTGAGCTTAGGGGATCGAACGATGGATAACATGGATCGGCACCAGAGCCAAAGCCGGCCACGGAATCAGTTGCTGGTGGACACATCTGGGCAGAAGTCGCTCGAGCCTACGTTCGACCACACGCAAAACACGAACGTGACGGCGCTGATCGGGGAGAGGGCTTATCTCACGTGTAGAGTTCGGAACCTGGGCGACAAGACCGTAAGATCGCTTTTTTCCTGTCGATCGAGTCCCCTGAAAGAATGAAAAAAGAAAAACAGAGCTTTCTTCGAATCTTTTCCACCGTCTCTGTCCGCGGTGCTATTCGTGAACGTTGTTCAGTAAAGACTCGATGAGAGTTGAATAAGAAGTTCCTCGTGAGAGTTTGTACTTCATCCCCACTACTGGGAAGGGAAGACCGCGGAAGCGTACCAACCGCATAATTTATTGTCCCTGCCCCCTTCTTTTGTTGAAGTTGTCTGAGGTGTTGGAACGATTCACGGTGCAACGTGAAAGTTTTGAAGCAGACCCGAGTTTCAAACTCTTATCGAGTCTTTACTGTATCGTGAACGGGAAAAATTTCTCGTGACAGCTGCATTCTACATGGGAATTATCGCTACCAAGTGAATTCTCGTCTCCGCGCACCGCATTGATTCCGCGGAGTTTCGTGAAATTTGCGGCAGCAAGGTAATTACGCAGCGAAGGAGGAACGGTGTATTCTTGGCTGGGGCGTTCGCAGGAAATCCGGGACTTCGTAAAGACCTTAGGAAAAGCGATTTGCAGGAAATAATCGAGTTGCCCGGGCTCGATTGGACGTTAATCGACCTTCAAGGGAACTGGAAACTCAATTTTATCGCAGCTCGCGGTGCCGACGTTACAGGTATTGGTCGATCGAAAGTAATCGGGCCCCGGCGGTGGTACACGCGGTACTCGAGTTATGACTTCGTGATTACAGTCTTCGGTTTATTACGTCGCTCCGACGTAACCCGTGACTACGTTCGACTTCGATCAACGGAAACGTAATTACAATCGCTTCGTATGGTCCTCTCGGACAATTGATCTGGGAAGATGGTACAATTGTCTGGGTATATTAGATCTCTCTCGTTCTTCCTTCTTGTATTATTCCACATAGTATAGAGTATAGACTGCGGATATTTATGCAAACACAGATTTTTATCGATTAATTTAGCGATACTGGATTCACACAGAAATTGTTCATTCTATGAAGGGTTTCATCATGCTCGAAATGAGATAAAAATCTGAAGTAAAAAATGATCGTGTACAGTATAAGTGCATAAATTCCGCAGTCCAATGAAGACCATCACTTTTTGTCACCGTAATTCAATTTTTAGGATATGTTTCCCAATTCCATAAAGGTCTCTTCTGTCATGAAAACATGGAAGGAAAAAGAACAGGTACCTTGCGCAGAACTTAATACAATGATTTAACTAATTAATTTTATGGAAATGTAGCAACTATTAAACGTGTGATTTCTTTTCAAGGAATGTTCTTCGAAGAACATTTTTAATTGAGAAAACGTACAATCGACAGAGATATCTCCTATCGAGACCATCTCGAATAACTGGTTACTTTCCCAGAATCGATTCGTTCTCGGTGCAACGAAGTTTCAGTAGGTCTTCGCCCTATCGCGTCCAAACATGCGCGCCCCGTAGTCGATTCTCAGACAAATTTCCGTTCCAGAACCACCGGTATTCCTCTACCCTGGGACGTCTCTAGATGGAAGAACTTCTTCACCAAGTTGGTAATTACAGGCCAGAACGGAGAAGACATTGTCGTTCGGTGGTAATCGCCGCTCGAAGATCGGAATTCCACGTGGTAGCGGTTCGAATCCCGAGGAAATACCGAAATTAGCTTGACCCCGATTGCATACCGTATTTTCCCGATCGAGCCAATCGATATATCGGTTGTTTCGCGAACGTAGCCTAGATACGTGTGTTTCGTTTACCTTTTAAAACTAATGGAAATCTAATTAGAAAAGTTCCGACGATGCTTACACGAACCCGTTCTGTGCTGCGCACTTCGATCTTCTCACGAGCACCTCGTAGGGAAACGGGATTACCGGGAAAAAGGAAGATTACGGAGGTCAGGCCAGAATATAGGAGATCGGGCGTGGAGTGGTAGTGCTAGCTGAACCGAGGCAGTTCAATTTCGGCATTTCGGGGGGTTTGTAAACCGTATTAAGTAAATTCATTATACAATTCTCCGATACGTGATTCCGCGCCGCTTTCTCTGCTGCCCCGCGACGTTTTTAGCGTTCGCATTGGGCCCCTCCACCTGGCATGGAATTATTGATACCACTTTGCAATACCGTTCCATGGTGTCTGCACGAAAGATAACAACGTTGTCGGGTCCATATTGCGGTGATAAGGTTTACGAGCTACAGACGACGATAATGGTGCTGGATTCGGGTAGAATTTCACCTGTTCGGTGGTTCCTGAGATACACCAGGGCATATATCACTCGTATATACTGTTCTACTTTCTAGGGTCTGAGTCCTCCATCCGTCAAGCTGCTTCAAAGTTAATATTTATACAACATCTACGAAATCGAGCCACATCTCTGTTTTCATTTTGGTGCTTCTGGAAGCAATCTAGGTATCTTAGCTTAGGCACGTCGAGGTGTCATGTATCGCAGTCTTAGAACAGTTATCTAGATTTTCTTTTACCATTGATTTTATATTTTTTCTTTGTTGGGTTTTGTGAATTTCGAATCACAAACAAACTGTAAAGTTTCGAACTTTGTTGAGTTTCGAGAGGTTTCGAGGTTCCTAAGTTTCGAGTAACCCACCCTAATTCTTCTCATGCATAACAGGTTTTCTGACCCTCACGCATAGGATTGTATATTCTTTAGTACGTAAAATACCAGAATCCCTTGAAATGCAGTTTTACTTAAATTGTTCCCTACTAATTCAATCCAATCTATTAATACAAATAAACTAAACATAAGTTTTTAGACTCATAACCTAAATATAGATATATTCTTTGTATGTCACTCTATCGAAAACTGTATGAAAAACTTAGCCAATTCTCGTTAGAACGTGTACCATACTGAATAATGAATAGTGTATCACGAAAGGGTCAGAGTCAAGAGAGTCAAAAGGAGACTACCGATCCCATAAAATTCCGTGTATGAAAATGTTGGCGAGTTTACGGCGGCAGACAATACCCGGAGTCCATTTCCAGTTACGCTCGTACCAGTTTTGCTTAACGTTCAGCATTCATCATTTTGGACGTCTTCCCATAGTTTCCAGGTTGCCCTGGTGCCGCCGCGTCGTCTCGATGGCTAAGTTCGGAAGCGTTAAACTGCTTCTGTTCCCGTGTACGGTAGCGGCACTCGCCAGACGCTACGAGACGTAAACTTTCCCAAGTAAATACGTTAAGTGGTGCCAACATAGCGGAGGCCGTGTACGTTGTCTCGAAATCGCGCGAAGACAGCTGCCTTTTCCGGTTTACATAGAGGGATTAATTATGGCGGGTCACTGAAATAGACACGTTAGTTTCGATGCTCGGCGACTGACAGACACTATTACAGTTTTGCTATCTATTGTTAACCCGTTTGGCTGTCAATTACACTGGGTGTTTCGTTCGGAAAACATTCATCGATATTCCGTGCACGGAAGTTTCACGTCAGACATGTGTTTTCAACAAAATCGTATTATCAAGCTTTGTTCTTTCTTATGAATACAATTAAAATGGAACAGTTATTAGGAATGATTGAAATAATTAAATAATTTGAGATATGTCCATTTTAACGGAGAAATTGCTAGAAACACTTTTATTTTGAAAGTCACTATGAAATATTGTTCACATATGATAATATTGCATGAAATTACATCAAATTTCAGATCAGGGAATAAATAAATTATGTTCATTCATCCTAAATTGAATGCAGTTAATTAATGTACTTGTTCCGGCTGTCATAACCACTGATTTCACTCAAATTGTAGGTAATTTCATTAATTTTCAACAATCATTTAGCTAACAGCGAGTCTCGTTTAGTAATTATTAAAGATACAAGAACTGTTTCCTTCTGATTTTATTCATAATTAATCGTAATTCACGAGTTCGTAGCAATATAGCAAAAATTATCTTCATCTTCAAAATCAACTTCATCTCACCGAAATTTATCTCTAGACCTTTCTTAGTCAGCCTACCGGAAGACCTTTAGATCGTATCAGCGACTCAGTACGAATGCAAAGAATATTGCCAGACTGGTCAAAGATCCAATAAAATTCCATTGTTTACACGATTTGCCCGTCACTCCTCATATACGACCCAACTTTCCTCACGGACATCAGCTTTTTCCCGACTGACAAAGTCGTAATAAGGGAAGCTTCCTGAGCTGGCTGAAACACGCTCGCAAGTTAATATAAAACTTTAGTTCCCCTGCCCAGTGAAGTTTCCTGCTTCGCAACGAGAACGAGTAAAAAGTGGGACCCCTTTCTCCGCGATTTCAAACCGGTCATCCTTTCGCTCGGCGCCTAATTAAACGAGCTTCTCTCCTGGATTCAGGTATTACAGTGTTCTGGGAACGGACTAGTCGGCGGAACCTTTATTAATGTCTGATTAAATGCTAACATCGTAGTCGTCCTTCAGGCGTGCACGTATCGAACGATTCAGATTACACAGCCGGATGAACCAATCGTACGATTAGTCTCCTCGTCTGTCCCTGCTGCTACTAGTCTCTCCACGGAAAAGTCAATTACTCGCGCCAATAAGCAACGAAGTAATTCCTTCACCGCTCGGACCTCCAGCTCGACTCGCTCGAGTGAAATACACCGTATCTCTGTGTGTGTGTATTGCACACACGTTGGACGGTTCTTCTCGATCATCCTCATAATTAGTCGGTGGATCACTACTGATTGTTTCTGCTCTGGGAAACAAGGACCGTGTCAATGTGTTCCAGGAAATTCCAGTGTGTACCCTATTCAGAGATACTCGGGTCATTGTGTCACGAGCGTAGCTCACCAGATACAATCGAGCCCGTTCACGAAGCTGTCAATAGAGTCAGCAGACGAGTCTTCTCAGTTGATACGTTTCTTTCCCCCAGCCACTGGGAATGTCGCGTAAATTAACGGTCTCTACTATGGCAGTCACTTCCCGAAGCCAGAAGTCCCAAGAGTTTACTATAGATTACTTTCCCGTCGCTGAGAGAGGTGGTTGCTTGAGCACATACACACCCGCTGATGAAATTACCGTCGTCCCCGTAGACGTCAAAGTTCACCGGGGCCGAAGTTTAAATGTCTCCTTCGTCGAAACAAATTATGTATTATACGGACGAACGCGGCAGGCGTTTTGCGGGTGACGGAAGTGTGCTCGTGTCGGAACTTCTGACCCCGGTTCCCGGCTTCTTGAAATATTTAACGATACAGAATGACGAGACGGGACTGAAATATTGATTCCTGAGGAGACGTCCGTGGCCCACCTCCTCCCCCCTTCACCCCCCTCTTGGGAACCTTCGTCGAAATGTTCGGAGATTCTCGGAAACTCGAGGATTCTTCTTTGCGAATTTTTAGGGTAATGGTGAAGAGTTTCGAATCTTGTCGAAGCTACCCAGCAACCGAAGGAGGCTCGGAAATCTTGAATAGTTTGAATATTTCAAGTCTTTCGTTGTCTTGAATAGCGACTTCCACTTTAAATAAGGTTTAATGGCAATGGAACCTAACCCAGACGGCAAAGAAAGAGGTAGATTGTCAATGCTCTACTGTATTGTCATGGAAGGTTTGGTTCGTAAGATGTATTGCAATATTCTGTACCAATGAACAATAGATCGACATGAATACTGCAGATTATCATCAGAGGAATCTTCTTCTCATTTTGATCACAAGTCTCTTATATGTTACTTTATTATGCTCAGTACTGAATAGCTCCTTTCCTGAAACGTCCTGGGACATATTGAGCATACGTTCTTGGATCAAAATGCCCGCAGGAGGTTTCAATTTCGTCTCTAAACTCGAACCTTGCTTTTAAGCAAAATATTAAAAGCAAAAAATTTACACGGTCGAAGACTCGTCAGGCTTTCCCGTCGGGTTCCAATTTTCAATGACATTTTTATAATACTAGTCACGCTTATCGGCGCGGTCGAACGACGAAAACAGGGCACGAAAAAAGTCCCCAGTTTGACGTTGGAACGCTTATGTGTCTCGTTATCGGCGAGCTGGTTGAGCGATCGTGGCTATTCAAAGCACACCGACGCTTACGCCATGGCGATAACCATCATTGACTCCTTCTTGAAATTCCGTATGCCAAAGGTATCCTGGGTCAGGGCGAGGGACATTCACATTTTAACGGCGGGGGCGTATATATACACGAGCGATCAGCGATTCGAAGCGATCCGCGGGAAGAGCAAGGGCCAGAACAGCGAGTGGTCTGAATGGACTCTTTGCATAAAATGGGCACAGGAGAGAGACCAGGGACTCTACGAATGCCAGATCTCGACCATTCCCGTCAAGACGTATCAGTTCCGCTTGAACGTCGTCGGTAAGTCAACAATTCATCGCAGAACACCCGGTAAATCCCTGAACAAAATATCTATACAGTAGTAAATCATCGATGAGTGTTCAGTCGTCATCCCCACCACTGGGCACTTGACAGCCCCCTCTCCACACAGTGTCGAGGAACATTCGAACATTCATGGATGGTTTACTGTATCTTGGAAGTTTCGTCTTTTTATTTGTAGTCATCGTACACTCAACCGAATATCAAATGCGACCATTATACGAACACCGTGTTCCTTCATTACTCCAATGTCAAAACGAAGTGATCCGTGGTAATTCAAGATGTAACACACGCGCACGCGCGAGAGGAGTGTCTATACACAGTTATACACCGAGCTTCAATTGCACTCGAATCGTTTCCCTCGGCGTTCCCGATGCATCACGGCTCGACGACGCGTCGAGTCCGTTCACGGGCTCAAAAGCAGAAGCTTCCTAGGGCATAATTGCAGAGATCGCGAATATCGCGACTGTCCTCGTTATTTCGATTACAATGACCTCAAGCACGGATAACAAGCGTCAGCTCGTTAGTATACCCTCGGATCGCTAAAGCATATCGGGGTCTCTCTTCTTCTTTACCTCCTCGCCCCACTCCTCCATCTGGCGAGTGTCGTTTTCCAACGGGAGCTGTATTCCTCTCGCGCGGAAACACCTCGCGCGACGCATGGACCATGGAAAATCGACCCATACACATATAAGACTAGACTGCGTGTCTCTGAAAACAGCCGTTTCAAGTTTAGAAAGAGGTAGATAGCTTTCGGAGGACTTGGCATCTCTTTTTAAAAATCTAACTGGTTGGGAATGAGGTTCTGGGGATCTAGGTTTTAAGTGGTTGACTCAGCTATATTAGAAATATATAGCAAGTCCTTCAATAGCAATTTATCTCTTTCCAAAGTTCGGACTCTAGCCCAGGCTGACGCGCAGTCTACACATTCTGTGTCTATGAATCGACCCGATGAAGTCGCGTGGCACTGGAGGAGGGGTGGTCCAGACGCGAGAACAAAACAAAAAAGGAAAGGAAGAGTTCTCTGTTCCTTTATTACAGTGCCGACAGCGACGATATTGGGCGGTCCGGATTTGTACGTGGGCGCCGGTAGCACGATAAACTTGACGTGCGCTATACACTTCAGCGCGGAGCCACCAGCCTTCATCTTTTGGTACTACAACGGGAAGGCGCTGAGCTACGACAGTCCCAGGGGCGGCGTCTCGGTGATAACCGAAAAGGGTGGCGACATCACCACCTCCTGGCTCCTTATACAGACGGCGCAACCCTCGGACTCTGGGGAGTACAGCTGCAAGCCCAGCAACGCCAATACGGCGTCCATCAAAGTTCACGTATTGAATGGTGAGTGTTTACACGTGCGGCAAACGGAATCCTTTCTTGTAAATTGGGCAACGTGGATCACTCTGTCGCGAAATGATTTTGGAGATATATTTTTGACTGTGGAACGTGTAGTGACCTTTGGTGTACGTCTTTTCGTTCGGTTATTGGGCTCAAAGGAAAGGTGAGCAAACTAGATAAAGAGTTGCGAATAACGAATGGAGGACAAAAAAGTACTTCGTTAGTTTTAATCGATTAAATGTGGAAATTCCAATTTTTATAGTAGAACAATACTTCTTCTCGAATGAGTGGACACTTGGTAAACAATTATTGGCTCACTGCGTTTTCTTGGAATCTTATAGAAAAGTTTTTTTTCATACATTCAACAATCAATTGTCAGTTTAAGAGTGTTTCAAACATTTTTTGTTCAAAGGAACTTACAATTAATTCAGCTGGCAGTGCAAATTTTGGTATTTCATACACTGTTTTACTGGGTAACATGGTTACACGTAAGTTTATCACCCCCTTAACGTTCTCGATAGTTTCACAATGTAGCATAACGACCTTATTAATAAATTATGATACATATAACAACGTGTATACCCGTTGAGTGCACAAAATTCACAGTTAACTGCCAGTTATTACGTGCGGTTGATACTCGGAACAAAGGTTCAATTTCCCTCGAAGTAACATCAACACGCCTCCACATTACATTCATTATAATATTCAGTACTATTCATAATAATATTCGCTCTCTCATTTCTGTAACTTTCAGTACCTCGCTGCGATAACGGACGAAGAAAACACGTTTCCGTTATAAACGTGCGTTTGTGTTCTCTGCAAGACCAAGCGATCGGCTTATTAAAACTTGGCAATTACACAGTCCCAAAGTTTTCTCCGTTTATTCAATAACGCCCGTTGGAGCGAGGTAGCAGCAGCGAGCGAGCAGGAAACGAGTTTCAAAGCGGCCAAGAATGTTTACCGTCCTCTTCTCGTCGTCGTTTCCCCACCCAATACCGAACACGCTAGGCGAATAGTTTCGTTAATGCTCAGTTCAAACGTAATTTCCGTGATTTTCATTATTACGTCCCTTAAAAGGAAGGGTTGGGGTGGGGGTATGTGTAACGGTTCCAGGCATTTTTCATCAGCATTTTTCCGAGAACTTTCGCAATGTCCGCCGTTTCGTGGAATTTTTCCTAGCGAATACTTTCGCGGACATGTCTGCGCCCAGAGAGTTGGCCCCGTTTGTTTAACGGACAGGGGATGGTGAATTCTTTGCGTGGATATCGTCGACGCGTCCACCGTTTTCCAATCGTAACAGCCAGTTCGTATCGTAACAGACGATATGGTTTTTTAATCGTTTCGGTAATTTTGATCGAATCGATAACAACATTTATACAATTCTATATCTTTACCGAAAATCCAAGTCTAATGCGTATACTGACTTCCTTTGTTTGTACGTGTTCGAATGCTGCTCTCGGCTGTTATCGGTCTGAATCGGTCAACAAACCGTATCGTCTGAACTGGCTCTAAACCGGGAACGTTTTCGGACGGCGGACAATAAAGGGCGGCGTCGATCGTCAACGACAAATTTGTCCATGTAAATTACGGGCGTTCACGTGGTCGGACAGGGGGGTGGGGAGAATTCTTACCGGAGGCGAGCTCCGTCGACGACCGGACCGAAATCGAGCGGAAATTGCATTTCGATCCGTCGCATAAAATACCCCGCGAGCCCGTGGGCGACGTTTAACGAAGAACGAACATGCGAAACGGAACTCCGATACGGTCTTTCGGAACTCTCCGTCGCCGTTGCATGGAGAAAATATCGCGGGTAACTTCTCGAAGATATTTTTACGACGCATGCCCCTGCGAGTCCCGCTCGTTTTTTCCACTGTTTTTGGTGAATTCTCTTTCGGGAGACATCTTTATTCCTGTTATCGAAACTAGCAAGGTTCCCTGTTCTGACTCGTGTCCTCGATTCTTTTATTCAAAACGCAGCTGGTCCTGGGGTAAGTGGAGATTTTACGTTTCTTGTTGCTTCAATGGAAAATATTCGTTTTTTCAGGGTTGCTTGGATTTTTACGTACAATCGGTCGTAAAAATATTCGGTCACCTGTATAATTTTTACTTCCAAGAGCCATATTTCGAACGGATGTATGTACAGTGCGTGGCACAACTATAAAACCACCCTAAAATTTTCGATCCTTATGCTTCGGTTAAAATAAGAACGAACTACTTTTTATTCTAGGGAATATAATTTATAGTTTTCTGGAGGAACATTATTTTTCAACACGATTTCGGACAATACATTAGAATTGAAAATTTTGGGGTGGTTTTATAGGTATGCCACGCAGTGTATAACGGGCAACCAAAATGTATTACATCATATTACATAATACAGTGGTAAAAGATAAATGAAGTCATCAGTTAACATTAGCTTCGATATAAAACGCAGTTCTCGTCAGCGAATCCATGAAAAATTGATGCACAATGTGGAATTTGTATATTTTGTCCAATTTAAGGTTATCAAACTTGTCAAAGAATAATAATAGCATAATTTAATGGAATTCTCCATGCAATTCAAGCAACTCCTCGTATTCCACCGTCAACGCAGACAATTTCGCAGTCCCTGGCGCACCAAAATGCTACATCTTCCGTGAGAAAACTCCTGTTTTCCCCAGTTGGCAATCGAGTTGCCCGATTCGTTAAAGTCTGCCGACCGAGCTCCGCCGTTGGGTTAAAAACTTCCGCGGACGGAGTGGCAGTCGATGCGGAAAAAAATACGACGCTTTAATTAATTTTCGTATCCCGTGCAATTAATAACGAGTTCCAGCTCGACGAGCCTCGGTAATCGTCGTTAATTTCGTGGCCCTGTGAACATGCTCGCAGTCACTTCCCACGCTCTAAAAGTCTTCAACGATATTTTCAGTTTCTATATTTCAATAACCGCCATTTTTCGCCAAGTGTCGATTCTTTATACGTGAATTCATAGATTGTTTCATGAACATTGAGAATGTTTGTAAGAACTGTTTAACCTTCTGCTTACAAGGAACTCTATCCAATGATCGCTAGTTATAGTAAAAACTTTAAAATTCATGGAAGGCTTCTTGCCTACGATTGCCTCGTATATTTTACTAATTATTTATTATTTATTACTGTATATTCACTAATTCTCTTGTACCATAAACATATAAGCCGTTTTCACATTCTTCATATCTTATACATCTTATACATCTTATACACAAAGAATATAGGCCACGACTGTACTGACATCGTCCACAAACCTATCTTAAAATCAATATTCAAGTCTAATTAATACGAAGTTTGTAATATTAATATACTCGAATCAGTTTTCCTTCATTATACAACATTATACTGCCCATGACGTAGTGATATTTCGGAGGCACTTACCTTCAACAATTACGAAGACCTTCAGTTTCACCAAAACTGACAGGGATCATGAAAGTTCAGTTATCCAAGACATCTAGATAATAGAGGCCATGAAGTTTCAGTGACCTCAACTCTTGGTGGCTAGGTACCATAAACTCAGAACAACAAAGCTCCCTATGGGCATATAATACAAGTGCCACTTAACAATACCACCAGAAATTCAGTCACAAGATCGATTAATTCAGCCAATTAGGAACAATTTTCTCGATACAAAATAACGTTCCACTAAGCAATGGTACATCGTAGATCAGGGAGAGACGATTATCTTTCTGTTGCAGGCGAACGACCGGAGGCGATGCAGACTGGAACGGCGGGACCGATTTTATCCTCGAGCTGTCTTTTGGTGTCTCTGATCATTTTGTACATATCGTCGGTGTAAACAAAACGTCGAAACGGGACGGGACAAGCGTCGCCGGAACACAGCCAAGGGCCGAGTAGTTCGAGCCAAGCCGGGGTACGTTCTCATCGAGGCGCGCAACACGCGTCGTCAACCAGAACCGTCTCTTGTGTCATACTATCGAACGGGTAACCGAACGCACGCCTGAAACTCAGAATCTTGCGCTTTTCCCGACTTCGCGATACGCAAACGCTTCGACGTCTGGTCCGTGAAACACTTTGTCTGATATTTCACTGCGCGAACAGATCGCGTCCACGATGATTCGACGTTGTGAGTCCCGAAGTAAATCCTCGTGGACCTAAGATGACACGTTTCCGGTCGACTCGTCCACAGGCCACGAACAGTTAAACTCCACGATCGACGAGGACCGACTGGAGACGACGTCTTTGGGGCCAGATGATCGAGATCGATCGCACGTATCCTGGAGCAACGACGAGAGTCGTATCTCGGTTCGAAAGGCGGTTTAGTTAAGAGGACACGTCGACGCTAATACCGGATGTGACGGCCGTCTACGTTCAGACGTACCTGCGCCTCGTTTCATCCCTCCGCGACGGGGTACCACAGGGACGGTGGAGGGGAGCCTCGATAATCCACATCGAGAGAAAACCGATTTACGGGAGGCGTAAAAGGAACGAACGACCGTTTTCGCGGTTCGCTTTTACGATTGGCCGAATCTCGAACGACGATATGGTAGCGAGACACCGTTCCAGGGGGGATGGAATAAAACGTGACCAGACTGCTTTATCCCATGATTCGAGGATCTGGGGCAGTCGGTTAACCTCTAGGTGAAGTTTCCCCCCCTCCGAGATGGATCTTCGTCTGATCCCCTTGATTAATCGCTAGTGTTTCACGGCCCCACTATCACCTCCCTCGTCGCTCTGTACACCGGAAGTGGAGATGGAACGTGAGTACTCTGTGTCGAATTGTGAACGGACACATCGACATTGAAACTCGAGGGAAAAGTGTACAGTGGTGTGTGTGTGTGTGTGTTGCACTCGTGCGGATAAATATACGCGCGGTACCGAGCGTTAATATTCGCGGGGGAAGCGCATTAACGCGACCGCGGCGTAGCGTGCGTCATTGTCGTCGCCGGCCGCGCGAAAAATCCGGGCGAATTTCTTCCAGCCGATTACCGCGCCGGATCGCGAGCGTGTTCCGCGATTGAAAACAGTTACGGGGAATTATTATTGCCGAGCAGGTCGAAATAATCGACGGGATTTCGAGCTGCGAGGCATTTCGCGGGAACCGGTCGCGTCCTAATTTTACGGAACGGGCTCGTTGGTACGGATTATCGATTCCACACGTCATCGGGAGGTGCTGAACGAATTTGGCTAATTATTCGTCCGAACGGATTGAAATTGTTTTTCGTCTGGGAACTTGAATAGCTTGGATCGTTTCGTTGACCTGTTAACACGTTGACTGACAGAGTGAAAAATGCAGTACGTTGCCAGACAATTTATTTCGTTTTCTGAGTCACCAATCGTTGAAAATATGTGTATTTAGTTAACAGATGCTGTTGGTCTTGCTTTAAATTATACTGCGATATTAATTTTCCGTGAAATTTTGTAACGGTATTTAAATAATTCAGCTTTTCTTTTCAATACACGTGTCACCCATATTTGAATGACGTGGCAATTAAAGTTTTAAATTGGGGATACGAGTCAACTTGTCCTTTACGCACCTACACCTTTTAATGGTTTCAGTTTCTTGTACTTTATTGGGTTGTGATGTTTTTATTCATGTGAATTATGTTACTTTTTCATTTATTATGGTGCATATATTGCGTCTTATTATACTTGTAATGCATTGACTGCCACGAGTACCGTAGGTATAGAAGTGACACTATCTTCGATCTGGAGGTAGATAATCAATCTTTAGAGACAGATATTAAGTAAAATTACGTGGATCAGGGTTTATGAAGTTTTACTAGCTTATAAGAAAGAGGATCACGTCATACTTTAACTCATGCTAATTTCTTTCTGATAAAACGGAAACTTCTGAAAGGATGAAAAGTTACAGGATATTCGCCTGGCAGTCAATGTGCTAACAGTATCCCCATGGTCCATTGTACCGGAATAATTAACCAGTTAACAGGTTGATAATGCATAATAATATTTCGAACTATTAATAATTCGAACCTGTTCACGAATAAATTATATTCAAACATTACGATCCGTTGTACCATAACATCTGATTGACTCAACTGAATCTCTAAGTGCTCGTAGTAAACGTTATTCGACCTGTTCGGTTCGGCAACACCCTGAATCGAGTCAAATAATTTACACAAAAGATTTCCTTCTCGGTAAACGAACTTCCACAGTAAGCCGTCTGACCAACAGAACGCGTCACGTGCTCTAATAAATCGCGAACGCCCGTAAACGCTCGAGGGACTCCGCTGAAAAGTACACAAAGCACATCGGGTCAGCGACAGAAATAGAGTACTCGAGAAAGAGTAGTTTCCGATTGAGGAGAAACAAGTGTTCACCAATTAACACAAGAGTCTGCCAGCCAATTCTCGCGGAACCATAGAAATTTTAAGCGCTCGCGATCGATCCCGTTCGAGTGTTCGTCTCGCGACGCGGTTTCCGTCGAGGGCCCCGAGTGAACGAACGCTGACGAGCAAACTGGAGGAGGAGGAGGCCCCAGAGACGCGTCTTTCCCCGCAGGGGGGCGTGAACCGATCTCGGGACCACGAAGCAGAGCCTAAAATACGATCAACAACACCGAATCGAACCTCGTCACACGGCGAGAACCTACCCCACGTTTTGTCGTTCGACGAACGAACGGGGTATTAGCGTCGACGACTGGCGAACCTACGAAAACCATGTACATAGCGTCTGTATTATAAATTGTGGCCGGGTGGATGGTAGTTAACACACTTGCACGCGCGACGAATACTCCTCGCCACCGTTCGATCGAGGCGTGGCGCGCGAACAACCCTCTCTCATCTAAGACCGGTGCGCGGTGGATCTAGTAATCGTGTTTAACGCGTGAAAATCGAGTTTCGCGGCCTGGAGTGGTTCCGGGCCGAGCCGACCGTAAACACGGCACCGAGCATCTTCGGGGGAGGGTTCGTCGCGGAAGGTTGAGCAGCGAACGGTTGGAGGATCGTTGCAGGGAAGACTGTACCTAGCGAGAACACTTGTTGGAAAATATATATCTTTGGCTCGATGTTGCTGAAAGTGCAGTGTTTCTGAGGATTATTTTGGAAATTCAGTGGAAAGTGGATTAAGGAAATAATCGATGAGTGCTCGTAGGCTCCTTGGTACTGAGTGTTCAGACGTCATCCCTACCACTGGGAGCTTAATTGGTTCCATGGGGAACCCCCTCCAGTGATGGGGATGACGTCTGAACACTGAGTGAGTATGTTACTTTCTAAATGGAGACTGGTTACTTGTGTTAACCCTCCATGACACCCATGGGTTTTTTTATGGTTGAAACGAAATTTCACGGTCAAATATCTTCCGATCAAAGATATTGTTATTGAACAAACTTTTTAAATTTTGGCTTTAAAAATTATTAGATCATATAGTAGAGACCCTGAAAAATTTCAATGAATTTTTAAATATTTTTTAGAAGTCAAAGAAATAGGTCTAGACGTAAAAGACTAAAGAGGTGACGGGAGCAGCAAAAGTAATGGGGGTCACGGAGGGTTTATCTTGATTGTCCTCTGCTTAGATCGTACTTCAGTTTAACAAATGGATTTCTTAAATGCTTTGACTTTTATGCGTCACTTATTATTTGACTTTATTGGAATCGTACGTAAGTTTGGGAAACGTGGCGAGACTACAGCATTCTCCAAGATGAAATTTAAAGCTCCAAGACATCGATCGAAGTTAAGATTTCAATTAAACTTCGAAGTTGAACTTCTCTCTTACGATTTAACGCATTATTAAATTATTTTCAAAAAATTTGTCCTCTCGATACTAGCTGAAAATTCATGGTAGGAGATTCGACGTTTTCTGAGAATGCGACTTGAATTCATCGTGACAGCAAATAGCGCGATAAAATTCCAAATCCGTACGCCGCAGTTACGAAATTACGGGAATAAAAATAATTCTCCGATAGGAGAGGGTAAATTCAAAGTCGACCCACTTTTCCCAAACTTATTCCATTTGCTTCTTATTTCATCAAGATTAAATTAACCCAGTTATGTTAACGGCGCGATAAGAATGCCAGATTCGCGAAGAGCAGCGACGATCCTCCGACTCGTTCCCTGTAGATCATTGCCTGATTGAAGTCCTCCCTTGATCAGGTGGTCGTCGAGCCGGTCAATCCGCGAAACTTTTAGACAATTTGACCCTTACGAGAGCCCTAACGGACCTTTTTACTACTTTGTACATTATTCCTTCCTTTCAAAGGCTTTCCCGTCGACTAAGCTGCGTACACGTGACACTGTAAAATGGCTGCTAAACGGAAGGGACAACGCGTAATCGTTAAGTCGATCGCGGGGACAAACGGCTCGACGGCTGACCGATCGGAAACCGGAACCACGTTTGGTACCGCGGCACGCAAACACGAGAATTTTCACTTTCTATTTGTGTGTGTGTTTCGATGTGATATCCTCGCAGATAACCCGACACGAAAGTATCGCGCGGCTCGTACACACGCGGCGAACACCAATCGAATCCCCCCTAACCTCCTCACTTTTGTGTTCCTTCCACGGTGTCGGTCGTTTCTCCGATTTCGAATGCTGCACGAAGGAAAAGCGTCGAGAGGGAGGAAGAAGAGGGATGTAAAGGGTACGGGGCTGAGGACCCTACCAGAAGGGTCGCGGAAGTTTGTAGAGGCTGAAATGAAAGTTCGAATCGATACACGTGGCCGCTGAGTACCGCTGACTGCTGGAGCACCTATCGAATTTCTATGAAGCTGACACTGGTTTTTCTGGTACACCAGGGATTGTGTGTATTAATATTTGGTATCACATACGTACTTCTATCACTTAGAAACTACGCAACACATCAGTGCACGTAAACACCAGA